TTAGATGCTATAATTTTTCTTTTTTCCCTGGTTCTAGATGTCTTTGTGCACAGGTTACTTGCCGCGTCATTAGGAATATACAAGCTTCCAACAGTGTTCCAAGACAGACCTCAACTTACTAGTGTTGCAGATAGTAAGATTTCGCTTCCCCCAGGGATTATTTATGAGTTTATTATTTTCCAGCGTTTTGAGTGTTCAGACAAACTTATGAGTCTTTTGTCACTTCCTGATGTGTTTATTTCCTATCACTAATGCACCGGAGTCTTAGTTTCTAATTCATTGATGTGTTTCAGATTTGAACTATCGGCATAGGAATGCCCAAATGGCAAGTCGAGCTTCAGTAGAGCTGCACACTCTCATCTACTTCAGAAATCGGTATAGATCGTCTATTTTTCCTGAATCTTACTTGATTCTAATGGCATGGACTGGTAAAGACTAAGAGAAAATTCTGTATTTTATGCTGCAGACCCACAGATGCAGAGGCGAGAGTGGTGAAGATAAGATCCAATGGTTTTATAGTATTCGTCCCCAAGTACGTTTTCCATTCTTTGCATATCTTACTACCATAATAATTTCATTAGCATTTAAGTGTTGCCGATTGTCATTATCCTTTCCTCTTACTTCCCTAGCCACCATGTTTTGCCTTTAAAGATTTAACTCAAGACACGAAAAACCGTTTTGCATTTGGCCTTTTGGTGCGAAGTGTACCCATCAAAGGATGGCCTACTTTCTTGTTTATTTACGTACATTAACTCGGAAATCTCAATTGGTTTATGCAGGTATGGAATCGAAGGCCCTGTTTATTTAACAGCAAAGGGTGAGAAAGGTGCTGGTGACTGGTACGTAGATGAGGAGAAACAGAAGATTGTGAAGATGGATGGAAGTTTATCTTACAGTGTCTTGCAAACAGTGAAGATTCACATGGAGGTAGTGGAGCCTCAGCCTAACCGACCGAAACTCCAACTAACTCTCTTGTAAAACTCTTCAACCTTTGAGTCTTCTTTCAGGTGGTTTTACGTTTGTTTTGTTTACTTTCTGCCTTCCGTACTTTCTTCGTTGTGTTCATTGTTAAAGTCTCAGACATTGTATCGTCTTTTAATTTATCTATCAATGGATGCGAGTTTTGGGCCGTGCATCAGTTGTGATCCTGGTTTTCTTAATAACCATATGCTTTTTCATCAACTTGATACAATATTACAATGGGGATAAGGGGGAAAAATGAAGAATTGCAGAAAGGTACAAATGCAACCAGAAAAATCGATCAGTTATGATCAAAAGAATGGTAAGAGCCCTTGAAGAGAGGACTTCTGAATCTGTTTTCCTCATTGTCACTGTAGTTGTAGAGGTAGAATCTTGTTGTGCTCGCACAGAATTGCAGGTTTTCTAGACTAACAAGTGAAGGAAGATTGTGGACCAAACAGTAAGGGCCAGTATCGCGACCAAGTATGTCCAAAGCATGAGCACTGAGCACTCGTCTTGCCCGACATTGTACAGCTGTGTCATGGTACCTGTAATTGTTAAATTTTCATTCCTTGTTAATGTTATTGTTTTAATTTTCCTAGATTTGCATGAACTCGGCTGAGGATATATGACTAACCGATATTCATGGCAGGCGGGAGGGTGAACTGAAGCATTAAAACATACTGAAACAAAGGATCCGGTGGAAGAAATCCGAAACTCGCAGCTGTTTTGACAATGCCTATGCCGATAATTGGGAGAAATATGTACCGAACGCATACTATTCCAAGTACAACCACAGGTTTGACTGCCGAAGAACGTAAACCTGGTCGATTTGAACCACAGTAAGTTTTTAAATTTTCTTTTTAACTGAGTGATATGATATCTGAGCCGTTGATTGAGTGATTTACCTTGTATGAGGTTGCCCCCTAGTATAATCGTCATACAAGGAATGGTTCCATCTCTGCACAATCAGTTAAGTTAGTAACTTAAGATGTATATATGCAAATGGTCAGGAGGTTAATAATGAAAAAGAATGTGGTAACTACCCAAGAAGTTTTGCAGTGCCTTGGATTATTCGTAAAGGAGCATCTTCTCCTATGATCAGATTTCTAAGCCATTTAACTGCACCGAATATGAAACCGATAATCTGAAAACAAAAAAACGTATCACATTAAGTTTGCTATTTTGTACATTCTTCAGTGCTAGTTGGTAAATTGAACTTACTGCACCAACTGTAGGTGGTGCAAGAAGCTCCTCCAGTATCTCATGGAGGAAGTCTACTCCTTTTCTCCAAAACCCTGTCTCTTCCTTGACCACTATTTTTTTCTTGTCATCAGGTACACCGAGGAGTTGGGTCTTGTGATCAGCCTCTAAGTCACTATTGGATGATGTAATTACTAAACTCTCAGAGTCTTCCATGGCTTTGAGTTTCATTGCCGACCCTTTTATCAACCGGAATGTGTAAGTCCATATGTAGAAACCTCCTAGCTGCAAATTAGTAGTATAAGGATTCAATTTTACTATTCCTCATCTCATACCTATATATTTTTAGTTTACTGTTAATATTACATACCGCCATGGAGAAAGACGCGTAAGAGAGGCCGATGGTTCTGCATACACTCCGGTTACCAAAAGGACTCTTGTCCTCGTCACATATTGCTGGGACAAGTACAATTGGTAGGTTCCCCATATTCCCTTTTTTAAACCAAAATTGAGATTGTTGTGAGAACAAATACAAACAGATTATCCAACACATACTCATATGATGATGACGACGTTTATAGGGTCCAAATTAATATGTCTCATATATACCTGAAGAACAAGTTGCAACGATAAGACCTTCAAGATAAGGAGGTGGTTTCACAATCTTAACAACAATCCACCCAAGAATTCCTCCGATTAGGAATGTAAGTCCCATATTAACCGGCATGAACCACCTTTGATTTCATTCAATAAGAACCAAGAAAGTATTATAACAGTTGAGAACATTTTAACATGATCCAGAACAGGGTAAAAAAAAAAAAAATGGGGACTTTTTTACCATGAGATGATGTCCTGAAGCGTGACCGTCTGAGCTAGATTTGCAAACATGAGAGCTGGTGCAAATAATACATACACAACCTATACAATTTGGAACTCATTATTACAATCTTGACTCTTTGATAATGTTTATAAGAGGTTCAAGCATTGGAATGATGAGAAATAATCGGGGTAATATCGGTTTTACCTTGTTCATGGAATTGCGGGATTCGACAGGGAAGAGCTTGCATCGGTCAGTAGCCAAGAAAGCTCCAATAAGACTTATGATGAGAACTTGAATCACTGGCATAGAAGCCACCTCCAACAATGACCAAAATCCCATCTTTTTTATGCGGTCTTTATCGACTGATGAATGGATTATTTATGTGGTCAAGCTCGGATCTCTGT